CTCCTCCTCCTCCTCTCCTCCTCCTCCTCCGCCGTCTCCTCCTCCTCCACCTCCTCCCCTCCTCCTCCATCCCCTCCTTCCGTGAGAGTTACCCACGTGGGCGTTTTCGGTCGGCCCCCATAGGAGAGCTCCGCCGGGCTGGGTTGCTGCCCCCCGCATGCGTCACCCACACCATCGGCACACCCTCACACGTTTCGTGGCCCCATAGGAGCTCCGCCGAAGGCCCCAGTGTGCTGCCGCCCGCCTGCGTCACCCACACCCATTTCGGCACACCCCTCACACGTTTCGTGGCCCATAGGGAGCTCCGACAAAAGGCCCCAGTGCTGCCGCCCGCATGCGTCACCCACACCCAATTCGGCACACCCCTCACACGTTCGTGGCCCAATAGGAGCTCCGCCGAAGGCCCCAGTGCTGCCGCCCGCATGCGTCACCCACACCCAATTCGGCACACCCCTCACACGTTTCGTGGCCCCATAGGAGCTCCGCCGAAGGCCCCAGTGCTGCCGCCCGCATGCGTCACGCACACCCAATTCTGCACACCCCTCACACGTTTCGTGGCCCCATAGGGAGCTGCACCGAAGGCCCCGGTGCTGCCGCCCGCATTCGTCACGCACACCCAATTCGGCACACCCCTCACACGTTTCGTGGCCCCATAGGGAGCTCCGCCGAAGGCCCCAGTGCTGCCGCCGCATGCGTCCCGCTCCACCCAATACACCCAATTGGCCACACCCCTCACACGTTTCGTGGCCCCCCTAGGAGCTCCCGCCGAAGGCCCCCAGTGCTTGCCGCCCGCCATGCGCACCCCCACCCCATTCTGGCACACCCCTCACACGTTTCGTGGCCCCTTAGGGAGCTCCACCGAAGGCCCCAGTGGCTGCGCCCGCATGCGGTTCCACCCCCCATTCTGGCACACCCCTCACACGTTTCGTGGCCCCATAGGGAGCTCCACCGAAGGCCCCAGAGTGCTGCCGCCCGCATGCGTCCCGCACACCCAATTCGGCACACCCCTCACGCATTTCGTGGCCCCATAGGGAATGCGTCCCGCACACCCATTTCGCCATACCCTTCACACGTTTCGTGGCCCCATAGGGAGCTCCACCGAAGGCCCCAGTGGGTGTGCCCGCATGCGTCCCGCACATCCATTTCGGCACACCCCTCAGCGTTTCGTGAACCCTCACACGTTTCGTGGTCCCATAGGGTGCTCCACCGAAGGCCCAATGGTGTGCCGCTTAGCGTCCCGCACACCCATTATGGCACACCCTCGCACGTTTTCGTGTGGCCCCGTAGAGGTGCTCCACCGAAGCACGGTCCCAAGGCTGCCGCCCCGCATGCGGGTCCCGCACCACCCATTTCGGCATACCCAATTCGGCACACCCCTCACACGTTTCGTGGCCCCATAGGAGCTCCGCCGAAGGCCCCAGTGCTGCCGCCCGCATGCGTCACCCACACCCAATTCGGCACACCCCTCACACTTTTCGTGGCCCCATAGGAGCTCCGCCGAAGGCCCCAGTGCTGCCGCCCGCATGCGTCACCCACACACAATTCGGCACACCCCTCACACGTTTCGTGGCCCCATAGTAGAAGCTCCGCCGAAGGCCCCAGTGCTGCCGCCCGCATGCGTCACCCACACCCAATTCGGCACACCCCTCACACGTTTCGTGGCCCCATAGGGAGCTCCGCCAAAGGCCCCAGTGCTGCCGCCCGCATGCGTCACGCACACCCAATTTCGGCACACCCTCACACGTTTCGTGGCACCAAGGGGAGCTCCGCCGAAGGCCCCAGTGCTGCCGCCCGCATGCGGTCACCATCACCAATTCGGCACCACCCCCTCACACGTTTCGTGGCACCATAGGGAGCTCCGCCGAAGGCCCCAGTGCTGCCGCCCGCATGCACCCTCAACACACGTTTCGTGGCCCCATAGGGAGCTCGCCGAAGCCCCTGTGCTGCCGCCAGTCCCGCATGCGTCACGCACACCCAATCCGGCACACCCCTCACACGTTTCGTGGCCCCATAGGGAGCTCCGCCGAAGGCCCCTGTGCTGCCGCCCGCATGCGTCACGCACACCCAATTCGGCACACCCCTCACACGTTTCGTGGCCCCATAGGGAGCTCCGCCGAAGGCCCCAGTGCTGCCGCCCGCATGCGTCCCGCACACCCATTTCGGCACACCCCTTACACGTTTCGTGGCCCCATAGGGAACTCTACCGAAGGCCCCAGTGCTGCCGCCCGCATTCGTCACGCACACCCAATTGGGCACACCCCTCACACGTTTCGTGGCCCCATAGGGAGCTCCGCCAAAGGCCCCAATGCTGCCGCCCGCATGCGTCACGCACACCCAATTCGGCACACCCCTCACACGTTTCGTGGCCCCATAGGAGCTCCGCCGAAGGCCCCAGTGCTGCCGCCCGCATGCGTCCCGCACACTCATTTCGGCACACCCCTCACACGTTTCGTGGCCCCATAGGGAGCTCCACCGAAGGCCCCAGAGTGCTGCCGCCCGCATGCGTCCCGCACACCTATTTCGGCACACCCCTCACGCATTTCGTGGCCCCATAGGGAATGCGTCCCGCACACCCATTTCGGCATACCCTTCACACGTTTCGTGGCCCCATAGGGAGCTCCACAGAAGGTCCCAGTGGGTGTGCCCGCATGCGTCCCGCACATCCATTTCGGCACACCCCTCACGCGTTTCGTGACCCCTCACACGTTTCGTGGTCCCATAGGGAGCTCCACCGAAGGCCCCAATGGGTGTGCCCGCATGGGTGTGCCCGCATGCGTCCCGCACACCCATTGTGGCACACCCCTCGCACGTTTCGTGGCCCCGTAGAGGGGCTCCACCGGAGGTCCCAGTGCTGCCGCCCGCATGCGTCCCGCACACCCATTTCGGCATACCCTTCACACGTTTCGTGGCCCCAAAGGGAGCTCCGCCGAAGGCCCCAGTGGGTGTGCCCGCATGCGTCCCGCACACTCATTTCGGCACACCCCTCACGCGTTTCGTGACCCCTCACACGTTTTGTGGTCCCATAGGGAGCTCCACCGAAGGCCCCAGTGGGTGTGCCCGCGTGCGTCCCGCACACCCATTTCGACACACCCCTCGTACGTTTCGTGGCCCCGTAGGGGGCTCCACCGAAGAAGATATTCACAACTGCGGTACTCACAATTGCATATGGTTGGGTCCTTCGCCAGGATAATTTTTCGGCTTCGTGCGTGGCTTTTTCGCCAAATGATCAAGGATGCTCCTCGATGGTCCTCGCCGAAGGAAACAAGCACACGTCCGAGCGATGCCAAGCAGACAGAGAGCCCATCGGGTCCTCGGGCACACCTGCCGACGTCCCCGAGAAACTGAGTCGGCATGAGAAGGACGATCGCGACGACGACCGAGGATCGACGACCACGGTTTGGGGGGGCGTTTCTTGTCTTTTTGGGGGCATCTTCCTGCCCGCGGCCCCTGGAGAAGGGACGAGTTGTTGTTGGAGGCCTGCGAACTTCGGGGGCCCCAGAGCAGTGTGATGACGGACCGCGCAGAGACCCCGCAGTCCCAGAGAGACCTCACCGCGCGGCCCGTCTCCGCACGGCCTTGGGGCCTCGGAAGCCCCGGTCGCCCGAGACGCCCTCGGAGAACGACCCGAGTCCCAAAACCGTGCGGTGGCCCCGAATCCCCACTCACTCGCCACACGGTGGGGTCACCACAACTGGGGGGCCCGGAAATGGGCACCAACACCAACACAGGGGGTGCCTCCACCAGAGGGAGAGATGGTCTCAGATCCCACCAGCCCTCTGGGCTGAGTGGTCTGACGGAGTTCCCTGCCACAACCCCTCCTTCCCCTGCTCGGGGGAGGGGTTTATCACTGTTCCCGATTGATACACACACACCCTCCCCCGGGCGACTGTCAGCCAACCAGAAACACTGCTGACCCAACGATCACACCCCCAACCATCCCTGTCAACAACTATACACAACACACTCTGCCTCCAAATTCGGAGCATGCGCAACCAACCCAATGCGGCCCCCCCCACCACCCCTGTCAAAAAACATAATAAAATACACTTTGTGGCAAAGCCTTCTGCCTTGAGTCATGTCCGTGAGGCCCGTGAGCACTCTGCATTGTTTCTACGACAGGGACGGCAGGGGTGTCAGCATATTCCCTGCTGCACGTAGGGCCACCATCCCTGTCGAAAACAAGACAGCATGCACCTCGTCTGGATCACGCGCGGCCACTCCGCGATGAATGTCAAATGGTCTTTGACAGGGACGGCGGGGGTGCTGTGCGCGTGGCGTGCCGGGCGCGGGCCCTCCAGACACCATGATCTGCACTGGTTCTCGACAGGGACGGCGGGGGCCGAAATGCATCCCGAGGTGTGCTGTCACGCGCGCGGGCGCACCTGACACACTCTGCACGTGCCCCGAACCGTGGCGCACCTGGCGCGGCTGGAGTGTGCGGCACACCTGGCGCACGTGGAGCACGCGGCGCATCTGGCGCACCAGGCGCGCCTGGCACTCTCGGGCCCCACGGGCGCTTGGCGCGCGCGGCGCGCCTGGCACGCGTGGCGCGCCTCGCCCCGGCGTCGCAGCCGCCCACGCAGAGACGACCGCTGAACATGCTGAGGCTCGGGTGTTATTTCCGTGCTGGGAGGGCGGATGGGAATTCACTAGACGGATGGATGCCTGTGCATTGCAATCCGAGGCACGCCGATGCCCGAGCGCTTGCACGCTCCTGCCCTGCATTTTTCCTGATCGCATGTGTTGTTACTTAGCTTGCCAATGCGCCGTCTGGGCGCGGCTTCTTTCGTTTCGTTTCGTTTGCTATCTAAGAAAGTGTATTGACCACTGCTCCCTATTAATATACACCCCCTTCCCCCACCCGGCCGGCGACCAACCGGGAAACCGTCATCGTCCTCCCCTCCGTCCTCCGGCCTCCCCGTCCGTCTGCCCCTCCGTCCTCCGTCCGCCCACCCCCCCTTCCTCTCTTCCTCGCGCCCTCGCCCGGGTCGCTCGCCCGGTCAGGTGGCCTCTGAGGGCACGTGGCCGTGGCCGTTGCCGGCAAAGATCGAAGTGTCCTGCGGGAGGCGCGACTGCCAGGGGAGGGCGGGAGACACAGGAGGCAGCGAGAGGGCAGCAGTTACCAGCCTGGAACATATCTGTATCCCTATGCTGGGCACCTCCTCATCACGATGCCAATCTTAGGGATTCCCTTATTTTTTGAGGGCGAATTCCTAAGATTGTCATCGCCTTTTGGCGTGTCAATCTTAGGGATAGGGATACGTTCGAGGCTGGTAAAGCAGGGGTTGAAGCAGGGGGCGAGGGGAGAGGGGATGGGGGCAAGCTTTGGCGCGCTCGCGCCGCATCTGAGATCCCACCCCTCCCGCCCATCCCTTCCCATGGTGCCGTTATGTTCTCCATCCCCAGGCGCGCGTCGTAGCCGACCTGGAGCTCAAACACAGACAAAAAACATCGCGGCATGCACAATCGGAAAGGGGAGCTGCGCACAGAGGAGGAGAAGGAGGAGGAGGAGGAAAAGTAGGAGGAAAGGGGACGAGGACGAACAGCAGCAGCAGGAACTGGAGCGGAGGGAGCGGCAAGAGCAGGATGACCAGGGGAAGGCAGAGGAGGGGGTCACGAGCATGAGGAAAAGGGAGAATGACGAAGGAGGAGGAGGAGGAGGAGGAGGAGGAGGAGGAGGGAGATAACTAGGACGAACAGCAGCAGCAGCGGGAACTGGAGTGGAAGGAGCGGGAAGAGCAGGAACACCAGGGGAAGGCGGAGGAGGGAATGACTCGGAACCAGACAAGTGGCCCGCGCTGGGGCGAGAGCGCCATTTCTGAACGACGCGGGCAAAACATCGACCCGAAAATCCCACCAGCCCTTTGGGCTAAGGTGGTCCAACCTCCCAAGGGCCCTCTTCCAGGGCCCTCTTCCCTCTTCCAGACCTTTCTTTCCTCTTCCAGGGCCCTCTTCCCTTCGGGAAGGGGTACAATCGACCCGTATCAGAAAGATGCACAATTAGGATGCAAGGGCCTGCGAGGCCGTTTCGAAGCTTTCCGATCGGGGCGCGGCCAACGAAAGTGGCCAAGGATGGACCGAGGAGGCAAGGACGCAAGGGTACCCTTGGGACAGTTGCCCATCCTTGTCATGCAGGTTGACTGTACCCTCCGCCTCCCCTCCATGAGGTTGTTGGGCGGGCCGCGAGGTGGCAAAGAGTCTTGTTTCGCCCGAAGTGGCTCCAAGAGACCCTCCGATGCTCCAATCGGGCCTCCCAATCGGCTCAAAATGGCCGAACATGGTTCAATGCAGCTTCCGACATACCTCGAATGAGGCCCGACGAAGGCCACGAAACGGTTCCAAGTGCTCTCGGAGCCCCCTTCAAGATCCCCCCCCCCAAGAGGCCCAAATCCCTCAACAACCTAAAGAAAATCAATGAGTGCTGCCTTCTCGCTTTTCCGCTTCCGATGCGCTTTTGAAGCCTCAAGACGGCCCAAGAGAAACCAAGAGGAACCCAAGAGGCTCCCTCGAGCGCCCAAGAGCGCCCCAAGCGGCGATTTCGAGGGCCCTTGAAGGGGGGCCAAACATCAGGACCCCCCCCCTTCCATTGATCGACAGCCTCCAAGATGGCCTCAGGAGGCCCTCCAGGGCTCCCGAGAGGGCCTCAAGAGGGGAGGCGGTTTGCCTCCTCCTCCTCCTCCTCCTCCGCCTCCTCCTCCTCCTCCTCCCCTTTCTCCTCCTCCATTCTTCTCCCTTATAGAGAATTCCTACTTGTCGCACCCCGAGACGGGTCGGTAGGGCGGGCCAAGCGTTTCGCCTGATACGCCCTCACAGCTTATGATCCTGAAGCTGAAGCTTTGCCAGACCTGCACAGATGGAGGGCGGGTCGATTTCAAAAGGTGGCTCTCGCCGTCGCGCCGCGAGTTTGTCTTTACTGTTTGCAAGAGATTCACGGATGGAGGGCGGGTCGTTTTCAAAATGTGGTTATCGCCACATCGCCGCGAACTTTCGTCTTAAACGTGTGCAAAAACTTCACGAATGAAAAGCGCGACGTTTCCAACATGTCATTTTTGAAGTCTGCAATATATTCACGGATGGAGGGCGGCTCACTCTCGTCTCAACGTCGCGCGCATTCGTCGTAGAAATTAACAAAAGTCTTCACTGATCAATTCCAAAATGTAGTTATCGTTTGAAAACCACGCAAATTCGTTTTGAACGTTAGCAGCAATTTCACGCATGGAAGGCGTTTCCTTTTTCAAAATGTAGTTATCGCTTTCGCGTCGCGCAAATTCATCTTAACATATTACAGCAGTTACACGGATTATTACGTCCAAGAAGCTGTGTTTGGCACAACCTAGGATTGTCAGGACGCGACGGTCACGTTGATTTGCGGCGATGAAGTCTCAGGAATACCGTTCTGGCACGACGCCCCAGGAACGGTACTTTGGCATGGTTGCAGATATTCTGACGGTTGTCTTCCAACGGAATACATCCCGCAGTGAAGCATACATCTTTGCAGGGACCTGTGCAGAGGGAATTTGGATTGAGGGTTTCTTGCCACACAAACTGTGATTCTTGAGTTTACACTGCTCCTCCTCCGCCTCCTTCGTCTCCGCCTCTTCATCCTCCTCCCCTCATCCCCGGTCTCTCCATGGATCCGCCGAGCTTTGTATTATATGCGTCTCTTCGCCCATTTTCGCGTCAGCTCCCATGTCCCATGGGCAAAGTTTTGAATGGGCGGGTGTGGACACCTTTTTTCGCAGCTAGAGGCGAGCGCGCCAAAAACGTCAGAAGAACAACGCGGGCCGCGAGCACCCACATTGCCGGCGCGCGCGCGGAGCAAGCAGACAAATCCGACCGCCGAGGGGAGCTGCGCTGGGGCTGGGGTGCGCCGAAGGGTGGAAGTTGCCAGCTGCGGAGGCGGCTGGAAAGTTGCAGCGTGCGAGTACCATGGGAGCGAGAACACCAGGCGCAGGAATTACCTTGTCGCCACCGGGCGCCAGCTGGTGTGGATATGTTTTTGGCCAACGGCCTCGTGAAGCGGGTCAAAAGGCGTCCAAACTCTAGCCGGGCCACGACTAGGCAGCAGAAAAGCAAGACGAGAGCAGCAAACGGGCGGCAACTCAAAACGGCGAAAAGAACCGGTAGACCCATTCCCGGCGGCGTCCGAAAATCCCGGCGGCTACCTGCGAGTAGACGCAGCCAAAATGGCGCAGCGGCGCGACCAATTTCACGTAGAGGTCGATCACTCGGCGTGAGTCCGTCAGACGGCAACGTCAGACACGAACGAGACCGACAAGCACCCCCAGATGACATCCGCGAAGTGGACGAACACAAATGTCGAAACATCGCGTCCGCGCAAGAGTGAAGAGGGGCAAGGTGGCGCTTGCTCGGGCGCGCAGGCGGGGCGGCGCAGCAGGCGGGAGAGGGGGGTGGCCGGGCGGCCAGCTCCCGCCTGGCCTGTGGGGTTTGCTGCCAGTGCGCCTGCCAGTGCAGCGGAACGTCGATCGTGCGGAGCTTCACGCCGTGGCCGTCGCGATGGGACACGCGCTGCTGCCAGTGCATCTCCTGCTGGATCGCCAGTCGATCCGCGACGGCATGCTGGCGGGTCCGCAGCTGTGCACATGCTCTGCGCGTCCGAGCGTTGACCTCTGGCGTCAAGCTTGGTTCAAGATCGACGACGCGGGCCTTGGGGAGCACAGCGTGCTCTTCAGCAAAGTGAAAGCCTCGGACGCCCTCTGGATGCAAGCCGCCCGCGAGGAGCAGCAGGTCGCCCTCGCCAATCGCGGCGCCGACGAGAGAGCGGGGAAGGCGCGCAGCAGGGCACTGACGAACGCCCCGTCTACGTCCACGAGGCGTGCAAGGCCGAGGCAGCCAAGTAGGTGCTCGCCCTGCGCATCCAGGCGGAGCTCGCGACCAGGGCGCTCCAGGAGCGCAAAGGATGGCCTGCTGTTCAGGGGCGGCCGCTGCACGCCGACCGCGCCCCCAATCCGCCTGCAGCTGCTGTTTTCTAACTTCCCCCCTCGCCCGCCGCCGATCCAGGCCGAGGTGGGCCCGCAAGACGCCGTGGACGCCCCCCGTCTTGTGCATGTTCGGGGCGTTCAGGGGGCGCCGTCCCACGTCGGGATCGCCGCGAATCGTGCTACCCTCGCCCACGACCTGCAGGGAGGCGAGGAGCGCGGGCACGTCCCAGGGGTGGCTGCTCGCGGCTGGGCGTGCTCGCGGTGCGGAGTGCGGTCGCAGCGTCGCCAGGCCCTGAAGAAAACGCCCGCTTTGCGAGGGCCATGCGGCAGCGCGCCTCCCAGCCGCCCTCGGCCCCCGCCTCGCCGCCAACCGCGGCCGCTCGCGGAGGCGCCTGGCGGGCTGCAGGCCGCCTGGCCCCCGGCCGTGCGAAGCAGAAGTGGCATCGGGACCCCCTGCGGACATAGGGGGCCAAACAGTGGCATAAACATAAAACCCCGGAGGTCCGCGCGGATTTCTCGGATCGGCGCTGGACCCCCCTCCCTGGCGCGCGGAGCGCGCCAGGGGCGGCGCCGGAGGCGCCGCCGGGGGGCCCCAGCGCCGATCCGAGAAATCCGCGCGGACCTCCGAGTCTTTATGTTTGTGCCACTTTGTGTTCCCCTGGGACAGGCAGGGCACCCCGAGCCGCAGCCCAGGATCAGGGCCGTCGCAGAGCCCGCGCCGCGGACTGCTGAGGATGAAGGGGCCCTGGGACACACAAATAAATGCACACAAAGAAAAGGATTCCCCATATTTTCCTATATTTCCTCGGTTTTTGTCTTCCCCCCCACTTCCCCTATTTTCCCATACTTTCCTGGGGATCGACGATGAATTGTGTCGTGTGTTTTTTCCCCTCCTGAGAGGCGTGGGGTCGCCGGGGCTGCCCCGCGCGCGTGCGCCGCCGTCGTGGGGCCAGGGTTTCCGCCGCGGCGCAGCCAGCCGCATTGTGGGCCGGCCCCTCGCCCTGCAGCCATTGGTTGCCAACCAGCGGGGCGCCTGCTCCTCCTGCGCATGCTGCTCCCTCCTCCGCCGCCTCCTCCTGATACTACTGCTCCTCCTCCTCCTCCTCCTCCTCCTCCTCCTCCTCCTCCTCCTCCTCCTCCTCCTCCTCCGCCTCCGCCTCCTCCTTCTCCGCCTCCTCCTCCTCCTCTTCTCCTCTGCTCCTGCTGCTTCTCCTGCTCCTGCTGCTGCTCCTGCTGCTGCTCCTGCTCCTGCTCTCCTGCTCCTGCTCCTCCTGCTCCTCCTGCTCCTCCTCCTCCTCCTCCTCCTCCTCCTCCTCCTCCTCCTCCTCCTACTCCTGGTTCTGCCCATCATGCCTGCTTCATCGCTACACTTCTTCATACTCCAGCTTATATGCTGCTTCGGGGTCGCGGTCGTGGTCGTGGTCCTGCTCCCGTTCCCTTCCCTGGTGTTGCTATTCCTCGCCTTCATCGCCATCCCCTCCTCCTCCTCCTCCTCCTCCTCCTCCTCCTCCTCCTGCTCCCTCTCCTCCTCCTCCTCCTCCTCCTGCTCTTCCTCCTCCTCCTCCTTCTCCTCCTCCTCCTCCTCACCACCACCACCACAACCACCACCACCAACAACAACCACCTCATCATCATCTCCATACGTTATTTTCCTCCTCCTCCTCCTCCTCCTCATCTTCCTCCTCCTCCTCGAGGTCCTGTGCCACTTTCTCCTGCTGCTCCTCGTAGGCCTTCTCGTCGAACTCCATGTGCTTGAGGCGCTTGTCGTGCGCCCTGCGCGGGGCAGGACGAGCCGACTGACAGGGAGTCCACGGGGGGGCGGGGGCCCGCTGGGGCGGGGGAGGAGGCCGTCGCTCTCCTCCGACCTCCGCCCTCGAACTGCAGAGCGCGTAATACACTCCCGAGTCAGAGTCGGCCCCCGGCCTGCCGAGCGTGGGGGTTGGGCGGCAAGAGAAGGGGGTCTTGCCTCTTCGTCCTGCCTCCGTTGAGACTTGCCGCCAGGTGTGGAACGGAGTTCCCTGCGCTCTGAATTGGGCGTCCAATCGCATGCTATGCTAGCTGGGGCGTGTTGCAGCGCCCAAGCTTGACCTGGTCTCCACCGCGTCACCAATCCATCAATCCGCCCTCCATCCCCCCTCCTCCGTCAGCCCCCCTTGATCTTCCCTCTCGGTCCCCCTCCCCTCCTCGTCCTCCACCTCCTCCTCGTCCTCGTCCTCCTCCTCGCCCCCCTCCCTTATCATGCGTCGTTTCGCGTTTCGATGGCCACCTGGGAGTGCGGAGCACCCCCTGGCCCAGGGCCAGGGCCCAAGCCCAGAGGGGAATCGGGGAAGAGAGGAGGGGGGCGGGGAGGGAGAGGACGGAAGGGGAATGGGGAGGAGGAGAGGAGAAACGAATAGGCGAAGGAACGTGAAAGGGAAACAACATGAGCGAGAAAGAAGGGGAAGGGAAGCGGAAGGGGCGGTAAATGGATGGCAAAAGGGAGGGGAATGGCGGAATGGGAAGAGCGGGTGGGGAGGGACTGGAGGGGGGAGAGGAGGACCAGTGTAAGGGGGGGACAAGGGGAGGACGGAGATGGGGGGAAGTGGGCGGCGTCGGGTGAGGGGCAAATGGGGGAAGATGGGGAGAAACGAGGAGGAGGAGCATGGTAAGGAGAGTTCCGCGCTGGTATCGCTGGGTACGTTCACTGAGCGAGAGGTCCACGCGAATATCGTAGCGTACTTCCATTGAACTAACGTCACGGCGGCCATACTTGCCGATGACCGCATCACTGATGCGCACCCAGTGCTGGCGACTGCGCAGGTCCTTGCTGCGGTCGGATGTTGAGCTGGCTGTGACAACTCCCTCCATTTCCAATGGATTCGTCGATGCTGATGCAGCTTGCGGGAATGGCAAACGATGTCGGCAACATGGAGGCACCGTGACTGCATACCAACCTTGATCAGCCGTTACCGCTGCTGCCCTGGCGGGTATCGTCGGCGCCGGGTTCTTTGCACGGCGCACACACTGTACATCGCCGAGCCTCCACTTCCTCCACCGAAACATCTGTTACCCAGAGTGGACCCCGAACCATAATGTATTGCATTGTGGATAAGCAACCTGTGTGGTACAACTACGCGGTGTGAGATATGTGGTGCAAGCTATGTGGTACCAGCTATGTGGTGCAACCAATGCGGTGCTATCTGCGTGGTGCACTCCGCGTGGTAAGACTATGTGGTGCAAACTATGTGGTGCAAATCACTTTGACCGTCTTGAAGCTGTCCTCTCCACTGCTCGTGCAAACATCCCACCCTCCCACCCTCAACTTGGTCGCAAGACCTTTTATGACAAGACCGTAACGGTAGGTACCACATGGCACTTGGCCACGACACCGACGCCGACGACGACAACGACAACGACGACGACGGCGCCGCCGACACCGACTACGACGACACCGACGACAACGACGACGACGACGACACCGACGACGTTCCACGTTCCACGCCGATGCGAGCGCTCGTCAGTTCGGGCGCTGGCCGCGAGGCACCGAGAGGCATGCCTCTCAACAAAAAATAAAGGGCAGGCGCTCAGCGCAGCACCGCTCGCAAGGAAACCACGAGCCCCTGAAAGGGGCAAGCAGGCAGCGGGCTAACCCCCAAGATCAGCCCACCCTTGCTCGCCACTAGCGGGGCTCGCGCCCCGCACTGACACGGTCCAGGAACCACCGCTGGTCCTTGGACATGCGTCCCGTGCAGGCCTGGAGCAGGGCGCGCCAGCTCGGCGCCTCAATCAGCGCGTGGGCTCCACAGCGCTGACAGACCAGGTAGCGGCCAACCGCCGCTACCTGGTGCTGCAGGAAATGGAAGACCGACGGCGGGGCGACAGCCTCGCCCTGCTCGCCCTCGAAACCGAGGGCCTGCCACGCTCGACGCACCGCCTCGCCACGCGCCCTAGGGAGGACGACGACGACGACAACGACGACAACGACGAGGGAGGAGGGAGGACGGCGACGACGCCCGACGACGACAAAGACGAGGGAGGAAGGAAGACGACGGCGACGACGACGACGGCGACGAAATAGGAGGGTCGACGACGAGACGCCGACGACGGACGACGACGTCGAGGGAAGAGGAAACGACGACCACGGCGACAACGACGACGGAAACGACAACGACGACGACGACGAACACGAGGAAAGAGAGAGGACGACGTCGGCGACGACGACGACGACGCGGGAGGAGGGAGGACGGCGACGACGACGACGACCACGACGACGACGACGCAAGAGCGAGCGCGCACGCTTTTGCTCAAAATCCTTATTGCGAAACCTTGTGTTTTTGAACGTTTTTTGGACACACGATTGTGAAATCCTTCCGAAACCGATGGGTTTGGAAGGATTTCGGCATACGCGCGCAACGACGCGCGCATCTGCACTTCGTCCCATTTTTTGCAAAGGATTCCCGCGACGGCACACGCGCAAGGGCGTTCGACAGATTTCGACATGCGCGCGCGCGAAGCCCGTTTGGTATCATGTTCTGAAAATCTTGAAAAACCTATGGTTTTCTGAAGATTTCGCACGAGCTCGCGCGTAATCTTTTTTAGCAAATCAGTGTTGCGAAACCCTATGTTTTTGTATGTTTTTTTGGAGCGCGATTGCGAAATCCTTCCGACACCGAAGGTTTTTGAAGGATTTCGGCATGCGCGCGCGATGACGCGCGCGTGCGCACGTCGTCCCATTTGTTACAAGGGATTCGTGAAAAAGTGCTATGTTAGAACAAAGCGTGTCCCCACGTATCGTCTTTTACAAGGAAACCTCAGGGGGGGGAACCCGGTTGGCCTGTGACATTGTGATTTCAGATTTAGGATGGACATGTGGTCATAATCAAATGTGATTTACATAGGACGCGGGGGGGTGATGACGCCAGGGGGTGGGGGGTAGAGTCTATTCTCTTAAAAAAAAAAATATGTTGTGCACCCTATGTGGTGCAAATTGAATTGTGCAAAACATATACATACATACATACATACATATATATCTATATGTGTATATATATATACATATATATATATACACATATATGATGCGAGCTACGATCCGGAACCTTCAGGGATCCGGGGAATCCCTCGGGAATCCACAGGAATCCCTCAGGAGTCTGAAAGCACCCAGAGGGACCCAACGGACTCCGCCAAGAATCTCATTGAAACCCTTCGGGGATCCCACAAGAGTCCTCAGGAATCTCTCTGACATCCTTCAAACATCCGTCAGGACTTCATCGGAAAATCCATCAGAATTCTTCCAGAAGCTAGAGAAGTCAGCCGGAATCCCGGAGGCATCCTTCCGGACCCCCCCAAGAAGCTCCAGGAATACGGCAAGAATCTTCAAGGAGATCCCGTAAGAATCCTGCGCGGATCCCTCAGGAATCCCCCCTGGCATCCTCCAGGAATTCCTGCGGGAACCTCCCAGGAATCCCAGGAATTCCTCAGGAATCTCTCCTTCCAAGAATCCCAGGGAATTCCCAGGAATCCCAGAAATTCCCCCAGGAATCCCAGGAAACCTCCCAGGAACCTCCCAGGAATCCAGGAATTCCTGCAGGAGCCTCTCCGGAATCCCTGCAGGAATCTCAAGGAAGCCCTCAGGAATCTCCCCGCTCCCCGTGTGGGGGGGGGGAGCGGGCCGCCGCGGCACGTGTCCTCCATCAATGAAAGGGGCCCTGGGACACACACACTCACACACACACACACATACACACACATACACACACATACACACACAAATCCACACAGATAAGAGGATTCCCCATATTTCCCCACATTTGCTTGCTTTTTGTCTTCCCCCGCACTTCCCATAGTTTCCGAGATCCTCTGGGGAATCGACGAATCATGGTGTCTGTGTGTTTTTTCCCTCCTCCATCAAGAGCAGCAGCGACAATCCGCACCGAGGAACCCCATTACAGCCACGCGCCCAGCGACGTGCAGGACCGTTCGGCCCCCTCACTCTGACGACGCTCGAGCTGCGGACACTACCTCGACCCGCTAACGTGTACACCGGACTCGTGTCTATAGTGTTTACAGGGAAGTATCAATACATGGGATGTTAAAACATATTGGATTTTTAATACATGACTAATTTATGAATAAACGTATGCACGAACTCGTCGTTGTTTTTACTACTAAAGCCCTGCATTTTTTATACATGATCCGCACGCGGAGCATGTAACCTCATGCCCGTGAGAATAAACACTAGGGGATAATAAAGTTCGGGGTTCAGGGAGAGATAATAAAAGTAGCCCAGCAGACCTCAGCATAATCTCGAAGTAAGAGATGATCAAGAGGAGACCAAGCCGAGCACGTTTTGAGACATCCTTGGCGTTTAGTTTTCATAGAAATATCCTCAACAATGGCTTATCTCTCATGAAAATTGTTTTTTGTAAGTGCTCGTGTAGGGTAGCTCATGTGCCTCAATTTCCATGGATAATCAACCCCAGAGATAAAAAAGTTCAGGCGAGCGTGGGGACAGAGAGAAATATAAAAGAATAATAATACAGTAGAAGAATAATAAGAAAGAAGAATAAGAGGATAATAAGAAGAGGACGAAGAAAGGAAAAATCCAAAGTTCCAAATCTATCAATTTTAATTTACAAACGCTTTATGAAAATTGATTTGTTTAAGTGCTCGTGTAGGGTAGCTCATGTGCTTCATTTTCCATGGATAATCAACCCCAGGGATAAAAAAGTTCAGGCGAGCGTGAGGACAGATAGAAATATAAAAGAAGAAGAGGAAAGTAGAAGAATAATAAGAACATTGCTCGTTTCGTTTGAGTCTGCCTCCCAAAATTATTGGTTTCGCTTGACACATCCTGAAAAAGTGTGATCGCTTCGCTTGATGTTGCTATATCAACATCGCTTGATGTTGCTATCTCAACATAGCGTTTCGAGGTGATAATGAAGTTCGGCCTCAGCGCTCGCCGCCCAATTTGAATTTTGTATAGGGCGACGATAATCAACTCTAAACACTGAAGGGGGGGGGTCCCTTTATTATCATCGGCATGCGGTTATTAAAAACGGCACTGTATAGTGTTCACTTTCGTTTTGAGGTCCGCAACGGGCCGCACATGCACGCACATGCCGCACAGTCTCGTGCACATACCCATGCAAATATCTGCAAACCTGCACAAGTCTCAACAACATGGCCGCACGTCCGCGCTCATGCCACACCGTCCGATGCACAGTCGGATGCACAGCCTGGACAAACTCCGAACGTCTAAGAGCGGACGCGGGGCCAACGGGCGATGTTGCTCCGACTTGGGCCATCGAGGTGGCCGAACGTGGCTTTGCGGAGCGTCGCGGGGGCGGACCCGATGGCACGAACCGGCAGAACGGGTGCAGCTAGAACACATGCCCCGACAGGAGCTGTTCCCCAACTGGGCCTTGCCTGCGGGTTTCTGAAAAAGCTGGCGAGGAGGACGAGGACAAGGAGGAGGAGGAGGAGGAGGAGGAGGAGGAGCGAGGCGGGGACGAGGCGAAGGGGCAAAGGCGGATTCCGGAAACCCCGAACCCCAGAACGCTTCCATCCCTTGGGGGCCACATCCTTCACCTCCGCCGCCTCCCGCCCAGCCCTCCGCCGGCGGCCGCGGCGGCCTCGTCTTCCTTCCGCCGACCTCCTGCCGCCCTTTCCGCCGCCCTTCCGCCGAGGAGGAGGTGGCAACCTCCTTCGATCCTCCAAGGCGAGGCCCTTTCGGGAACGCTCCCGTTCTTTTTTTTTTAAAAAAAAAAAGAACCAAAAGGGAGAGCCAGGCCTGCGCCAGCCGGCGTTGCTCGGGACTGCTCGGTCTGGTCTCCACACCGTGGAGCTCCTCGGGGCTGCGTGGACTCGTGCTTCCTTTTGCCTGTTTTCCCCCAGGGCTGCTTGGCCTTGGTTCCGTAGCGTGGAGATCCTGAGGGTTGCTACGTCGTGGGTCGTTACTGCCTTCCCTGGGCTGCTTGGCCGTCTCCCTGCAACATTGCCCTGGGTGCGTGGTACTGCTCCCTGCCTGCATCCCCCAGGATGCGTGGCCTTGCTCCCTTCCTATTCCGGAGCCTCCCCTTCTCTCGATTCTCCTCCTTGCACTCCGCGGCTTGGCTGGTCTTGTTGTCTTGCTGCCTGCCTCGGTTTGCTCGGTCTTGTTTCCTTACGGCCAAGCACCGCGCAGCAACGCCTAGCAACGCCTAGCAGTGCAAAGCAGCGCCGAGCAGCGGAACACAGCGCCAGGCAACGCCAAGCAGTGCCAAGCGACGCAGACCAACGCCAAGCAGCGCAAAACAATACCGCACAACGCCAAGCCACGCCGAGCAGTGTCAGGCAACGCCAAGCATTGCCAAGCATTGCCAAGCAACGCCGACCAATGCAAAGCAACCCTGACCAACCCCAAGGAGCATCGACCAATACCAGGCAATACCAGGCAACGCAGAACAATGCCAGACAATGCCAAGTTACGCAAGCGAAGAGCACCTGCCAACCAAAACAAAGAGATGCCAACCACATCAAAGCACTGCCTTCTTCGCTTAGTTCTCTACTTGCGTCACATCTCATTGAGCGACAAAATAAAGGGGTCTTACGCGAGGTGACGTAGCAACCTTACATACCCCACGGCGTACGCGGGCCGCCAGCGCGGCACGCCACAATGAAGACGAGGGCGCTTACGAGCGACCTTACGCGGGCCGCTTACGCGCCAATGAAACAACACCACACAACGCCAAGCAATGTCAAGCAATGCCAATACCAAGCAACGCCAAGCAACGCCGACCAATGCAAAGCAACCCCAAGGAGCATCAAGCAATAATTACCAGGCAATGCCAAGCAACGCCAAGCAACGCCAAACAATGCCAAGTTACGCAAGCGCAAAGCACATGCCAACCGAGACAAAGAGATGCCAACCAAATAAAAACACTGCCTTCGTCGCTTCTTTCTTTACTTGCGTCATTCTCATCCCATCGAGCGACAAGAAGAAACGGGTCTTACGAGAGGTGACGTAGCGACCTCACGCCGCGGCCTACGCGGGCCGCCAGCGCGGCACGCCACAATGAAGACGAGGGCGCTTACGAGCGACCTTGAGCGGGCCGCGTACGCGCCAATGTCGGTGAATACGACCCCGTTTGGGGGCGTCGCTCACTTGTTTTCGAGGGGGTGGGTGGGACTGCGCTCGGTATCATCAGAGGACGCCCAAAGGAAACGGATGGGAGTGCCAGGGGGGAGGGAGAGGGAGAGCGGCGGAAGGGGGAGGGGGCGGAAGATGGACGGGGAGGGGATCGGAGGCGACGAAAGGGGCGAATGGCCCAGGGGGGTGCGATAAGCTCAAACATGTATCCAGGGGTGCCGATGGTCCATGTCTTCGGCGAGGCCCCCCGAGCCTCCGAGGGGAGGGCGAAGGGGGAAGGAGAGGAAGCGGGGGGGGACAGGGGGGCGACGGGGGGGGGACAGGGAGGGGGACAGGGAGAGAGAGGGGAAGGGGTGCCAGGGGAGAAGGGAAGCGGAGCCGAGGGAGCGAGGGCCAGGAAAGAGCCGGCCGCCTGTACAGCGAGTCCTGGTTGAAGACGTCCCAGCCAAAGGCATCGGGGTTGCCCTTTCTCTTCTTCGCCGCCTTCATCTCCACGGTCTCTACGGTGTCCAGGAGGTACTCCTCTGGCCGGCGCGCCTTGCTCGCCCCCGTTCGCGGCTGCACCCCCCCCTGCCTCCCACCCTCTCTCCCCCCCCCCCCGATCCTTCCCCCCCTCGTGCCCCCGCCTGCCACCAGCATACATCGCCCCCTCGCCCTCTGACCCCTCCCCTCCCCACCCTCTCCCTCCGCTAGGGGGCCACATGCGAACCCTGCCCCTACCCCCCACGATTTCTGAGGGGGAGGGTGGGGTTCACTTCGTTCGGGAGCTCCCGAGCGAAGTGAACCCCACCCTCCCCCTCAGAGATCGTGGGGGGCAGGGGCGGGGTTCGCATGTGGCCCCCTATCCGTTCCCTCTCTGTCCCTCCTCCCTGCCCCCGTGCCCCCCTGTCCCCGCCGCGCCCTCGTCGCCTGCCCGCTCCTCCCTCCCCTCCCCGGGGCCCCTCCCCCCCCGCCACTCGACGTTCCAGCCCGGGCGTCCTTGCCCTTGGGCACCGCGCCCGGCTTCTCGCCCTCGCCGACCCCCCCGTCGCCCGTGGCCTGCGTCGGGGAGCGGGGAGGACGGGAGGAGAGCACAGGGCACCACAGCGAACCAGGCTCGACCCCCAGGGAGAGGGGTGAGAGAAGAGGGGAGGGGGGGGAGGGGAATGAGGGGGAGGCGAGAGGGGGAGCGTGGAGGCGGTAGAGGGGGAGGGGGAGGATGATGAGAAAGGGCATCCAGAGGGGGCGTGCTGGAATGGACGGAGAGAGGGGGGGGAAGCGTAAGTGATGGGAATAGGATGGCGAGAAGTGGAGTTGGCGGGAAAATGGCAATGGGTAGGGACAAGCTAGGCGCGATCGCGCAATACTTGGCATATCATTCCTCTCCCCCATCCCTGCACACAACGGAGGATACCTTTCTATGTGCAATCGGGTGCCGGAAAGACCCTGATCCTGGAAGGGCAACCTGATCGAAACCATAACGACCACCAGGGGTCAAGAACTGGGAGCGCATGACGGAGGCGGAAGGGGCAGGAGGGAGGACGAGCGAAGGCGGAGGGGGGAGGATGGACTGAGGGAAGGGAGCGACAGGAGGACGGAGGAGACAGAGGACAGACAACGGGATGAGGAAGAGGGGGAAGAGGAAGGCGTAGAGGAGGACGACGACTTGGGGGGGAGTGGGGGCGATGGAGGAGATCAATAAGCGGCGCGCCCAGGGAGGAAGTGAGAAGGCGCGGGCCTTCTCAGAAGGCTCGGAAGTTCCCCAGTCTTCTGAGAAGTCCCACCAGCCCTTAGGGCGTAAGGTGGTTTAGGGAGTTTCCTCCTCCACCCCTCCCTCTTCCCCTTCGGGAAGGGGTTCACCTCTCCCCGTATCCCCTCCCCTGGATTTGGACGGGGGGGCCCGCGGGTAGTTGGAGCGTCCGAAACGGCCTCGGCGAGGGAGCCAAAATCACTGGTGTTACTAAGGTTTTGGCCCCATTCTGGCCTCCTGGATGGGGGGACCGTAAGTAAGCAACCCCCCTTCTTTGATCGATCTCCTCCGAGATGGCCCCAAGAGCGGTCCCAAGGCTCCCAAGGGTGCCCCAAGAGGTGACCAGGAGGCCCCAAGAGGCCCCCGAGAGGCCCCCAGGAGGCCCCCAAGAGGCTCCCAATGGGACCCCCAAGAGGCCCCAAGAGGCCCCCCCGAGGCACCCAAGACGCTCCAAGAGGCCTCGGCGAAAATGTCAAAATCCGTGTTTTTCTTTTTACCCAGGTTTTAGCTACATGTTGGCCTCCTGGGGGAGCACACTGATTAAGATGACTCCAAAAGCGCCTCGGAGAGCCCAGTCTGACCTCCAAGATGGCTCAAGATAATTATCCCAAGATGCCTCAAGATGGCTACGATGCTCCAGGAGGCCCCAAGACCGCTCCAAGACGGCTCCAAGTGGCCAAATAGCTCCCCCAGGAGGCCCAGAAAAGACCAACATCTGTCCAAAACCTTGGGAAACATGTTTTTGGCTTTCTCGCCTGTCGCTTCCGATGGCCATCCGATGGCTCAAAGATAGCCCAAGAGGGCTCCAAGAGAGGCTCAAGAGAGCCCCAAGACGGCCCCAAGAGCGAGCGCTCCAAGAGCGCCCCAAGAGCGCTCCAAGATGCGACTTTTTGGGCTCCCGAGGGGCAGCGCTAATTAATGCCTCCCTCTCGTTCAATCGATATCCTCCCAGATGGCCCCAAGAGCGCTCCCAAGGCTCCCAAGAGCGCTTAAAAGGGGGGCACCAAGAAGCGCCCAGGAGGCCCCAGGAGGCCCAAACAGGCGCCCAAGAGGCCTCCAAGAGGCTCCCAAGACACGCCCAAGAGGCCCCAAGAAGCTCTCCGAAGCACCCAAGACGCTCTAAGAAGCGTCCGGGACCGCCAGAAGGCCCCCAGCACGCTCCAAGAGGCCTCCACTCGGGGACCCTTCCTCTGTGTGCTACCCACTTCCCTGATCGAGGCAATTCCTCTGGGCATCATTTATGGATGGGCTGATGGGGGCACTTTTGGGTACGCAGACGCACGAATCAAGTCGGACGCCGGGCAAGCAGGGGCAGGCTATGCCACCTGCGGAGGAAAAAACAGGGCAACGAGCCCGCCCGGACAGGCGGAACTCAGGGGTGGCCCAAGGGCAGATGCGGAGAAGCAGCACCAGGACGGTGAGAGGGTGTCAAGCGTGAGGACGAGCAAGCGTCACCAGACACGGCAAAGCATGACCGCGCGCTTCCCTTGCCGAAGACACGAAAAACTTATCAGAAGGCGCAGGGGCTCCTGAGAAGTCCCGCCGCCCTCCGAGAATGCCTCCTCCTTCTCGCTTCCCCCCCTCGCTCGCCGCCGAATCGACGAAGACCATGGGCAGGAGGAGGATCGGGAGCGGCCAAGAGGGGGGTGTCCAAGAGGGGGGGTGCAAATCATGACCGGTGGCATGTGCACGGCCCAGCGGGGGGGGGCCAGGGACGCAATGAAATAAGAAGAGGCGCCATGAAATCCGGGGAAATATCATGACCCCCGCCATGCTATCCACCCCCCCCAGTCATCACCCCCCTCTTTTCCGCCCCCGAGACGACAAGGACGACCACGAACGGGAGGGGGGGCGGGGGGGCCGGGGAGAGGGGCCCCCCGTGGGCGCAGGAGGGGCGCGCGGCGCCTCGCGGCCGGAGCCCCACCACTCCTACGCCACGAGAGAGGTATGCACGGACGCCCTCCGACGGCTTCTGCAGGGGCCTCCAAAAAGGGCGTCGGCGCACGAAGTCGCTGGCTCTCGGTGGTGATGCCTCCTCGTACTCGCCCTCGTTCTCTTCGTCGTCGTCCCTGTGCTGCTCTTCCTCCTCGTGGTCCTCGTGCTCCTCCTCGCCATCCTCCCGTTCGCCACGTCGTCCTCGTCGTCGACTCCTCGTTGTCCTCGCCTTCCTTGTCTTCTTCGCCCAATACGCCCATTTGACTTCAGCGGCGCTTCCCGTTCTTGTCCGATCAGGTTTTGCAAGGACCTCCAGGGAGGGCGTCGGTGTATGCAGTCGCTGGCTCTCAGTGGTGACTTCTACACCGCCGCCCTCCCCTGAGGCCCAGGGAGCAATCCAATGGAGGGTGTCTGTGCATTTTTCTTGCGGCGGAACTCTCATCGCTGCAAAGGGTGCGGCCAGCGCCAGGGCGAGAGCGTTGTTCTGTTGCACGGCCGCTCTCTGCTGGGGGGTGCTTCAGGTGCCCCCAGCTTTTCTCTCCACTTCGAAGCCCCTGGAGCCCTCTGGGCCTCGTGAGGGCTGCTCTGGAGGCCGTGGGGCCTCCTTGGAAATCCTGGGGGCACCTCGAGCCAGAGGCACTTCTAGCAGCACCCGACTCTGGGGATCGGGATGTATGTGGCCAGCGCTGCGGCGGAGGTAGCACCTTTGCAAGGCCGAGACCGCTCCGATCGGGACAAGGCATGTCGAGCACACTCTCGGGACACGCCCGTGCGCCGAAGCAGTATCCGAGATGGGCGGGCGCAAATACAGACAGCATCAGCGGAGAGAGGAGAGTTGAACTCATATCATGTACACTCGGACCTGGGCCAGAAAACAACCCTCAAAAACATGAGTCACTCCGTCGGCCAAAGCAAGCAGAGCATCCAAGGGTGCCCTCCCCAGGATGCACAAGAGCGTGCGACAAGCACAAAGATCACTGGGGTATCCTCCCCGAATCAACCTCGATCTTATACCTCGGTCCGACTGTAGAGCTCGTACCATGCGGTTGTGGAGGGAGGAGCCGGGAGAGGAGGGCGCGACCGGCGTCCTGCTCCGCGGGGGGAGTCGGGGAGGGAAGGAGGCGAGGGGGGTTTTCACTGGGGAGGTGCAGTTTGGGGGGGAAGGCTAGCGAGGGGGGAAGTCAGGGAAAGGGGGGAAAGTCAGGCTCGCCATCGCTCGGACGTCCATTCCCTGTGTTTTTTTTCGGTTTCGTGCGTGTTTTTTGTCGGCAAATGGTCAAGGATGCTCCTCGATGGTCCTCGCCGAGAAAAAAACGCACACGTCCGAGCGATGCCAGGCAGGGAGGGGGAGAGGGAGGGGCAGCTCGGGGGGAGGGCGCGGACGCGGAGCGGAGGGGGTCCTAAAGAGGGGGCGCGTGGCCGCGGCCCGCGGCCTGCTCCAGGGAGCGCTTGTGGCTCTGCTCCGCCTTCTTGCGCGAGTAGTTCGGGTCGGCCTCTCGAAGACCTTCCTCCTCCTCCTCCTCCTCCTCCTCCTCCTCCCCCTCCTCCCCTCTCCTCCTCCTCCTCCCTCCTCCTCCTCCCCCTCCTCCTCCTCCTCCCTCCTTCTCCTCCCCCTCCTCCTCCCCCTCCCCCCCTCCTCCCTCCCCCTCCTCCCCCTCCTCCTCCCTCCTCCTCCTCCCCCCTCCCCCTCCTCCCCCCCTCCCCCTCCTCCCCCCTCCCCTCCTCCCCCTCCTCCCCCCTCCTCCCCCTCCTCCTCCCCCTCCTCCCCCTCCTCCCCTATTCCTCCTCCCCCTCCTCCTCCTCCTCCTCTGCTGGCTTCTCGATCTCGTCCTGCCCCCAACCAGACTCCTTCATCGTATGCACTCCTGCTGGGCCACCTCGCCTGCCGACAGCGACCGCACCGGGAGCCCACCCTGCCCACATGCAGCAATACGCAGTCTACAATTGTCCTCTTAGCATGGACGCGTGTCCCCGTCGACGCTACCAGACGCGTAGCAATTCACAAGTCGGGGGGGCGCACATCCCGCGCGAGAGGGCGAGAGATGCTGCTCACGACCCTGCGCCGTGCGAGTCGTTCCTGGAAGCTGAGCCCGCGCTCTCGCCATCGCTCGGACGTCCATTCCCTGTGTGTTGTTCAGTTTCGTGCGCGGTTTTTTCGCCACATGATCAAGGATGCTCCTCGATGGTCCTCGCCGGCGGAAAAATGCACACGTCCGAGCGATGCCAAGCCCGCTGAGACGGCACACTCCACTCGCCACTTGGCCGACGCGCGATCGGACGAACCTGTGGCGCTCTCCCCGGCGCCGCGCAGGATGATTCGCCTGAGAGTGGCGCTCCCGCCACGGTGCGGCGCATGGTCTGCTCGCCGAGTCGTTAGGGGCGGGACCGCGCGAGAAAGCCCAAGAACACAGGAAATGAGAAAGAGAGAGAGAGAGAGCTGCAAACATGCGGATCAGTCAAACTATCTGTACGGTTACGTAGCCATCAATGTGCATGGATATGAAGAGAGACTCTGAACATTACCCCAGTGCGACCCTACCTAGAAGTTGGAGCCCCTAGGAAAGCAGCATTACTTGCTATGCTATGCTATGCTATGCCATGCTATGCTGCGCTATGCTATGCTATGCTGTGTTGTGCTGTGCTGCGCTATGCTATGCTATGCTATGCTGCGCTATGCTATGATATGCTGGGCTATGCTATGATATGCTATGCTGCGCTATGCTATGCTACGCTGTGCTATGATATGATGTGCTCTGCTATGCTAAAGCTCGGCGAAGCTAAGATGAAGGTAAGCTAAGCTAAGATGAACCTTAGCTAAGATGAAGCTAAGCTAAGCTAAGATGAGATAAGCAACGCTAAACTAAGGGGACGCAACCGGTGGAACCGCGGGGCGGATACTGGGGGAACCACCCGGGGCGGGTTACACTGTCTGGCCCTTTAAGCCAAGAGAGTAAGAACCCTTCTAGACAGAGCCTAGGTAGGGAATAAGAGATACTGGCATGTGTGTATATATATATAACTAGTGAGAGAGACAGAGAGAGAGAGAGAGAGAACGAGAGAACGATGCAGCGAGAAAGCGAGAAGGAGAGAGAGAGAGAGAGAGGTCCACGGCCATAGTTATACGATGGTAGAGAGAGAGAGACACTACGGTTCGTACAGAGAGAGAGAGAGAACTAGAGAGAGAGAGAGAGAAACAAAAAAAAGAGAGCGAGAGAGAGAGAGAGAGAGAGAATGAGAGAGAGAGAGACACACAAAGAGAGAGTGAGGGAGAGAGAGAGAGAGAGAACAGAGAAAGAGAGATCCTCGTCCCTCCACCTGGCTCCCTCTTCCCTCACTCCTCCTCCTCCTCCTGCTGCTGCTCCACCTACTCCCTGTATTCCTCCCGCTGCCTGTAGACCTGTTCCTGCTCATGCACCTGTTAAGTGGTCCACCTCATCCTTCTCCATCCCCCTCATCGACCCTTCCTCTCCCCTTTCTCCTCCTCCTCCTCCTCCTCCTCCTCCGCTATCCCGTCTTATAGACAACTCCTCACTGTCGCGCCCCCCGAGCTGTCGTTAGAGACTTCTTCACCATGCCTGACCCTGAAACCTGGCAATCTCCAAGAACTGCACGGATGGAGGGAGGCGGTCGGAATTATCCATCCTCGAGAGTATCCCTGTCCCTATCCCTGGGACTGACAAACACAGAAACGATACCACTATTCGGGATGCGCCCTCAGAAACCGAGGGAATCAGCAAGATCGGCATCGAGATCGGGTGATACCGACCATAAGGATCGGGATATGTTCCAGGCTGGTAAGACATGGGGCTCTCACCTTGGTGCCGCGCACTGCGTCTGGAAAGCTCGCAACAAGTACACGGATGAAGTGGGCCGTTTTCAAACGGGAGCTCTCGCCTTAGCGCAGCGCGCAGTCGTTGTAACAGCTTGCAGAGGCTACGACGATGAAGGGTGCACTTTCCCAACCAATAAAGCTCTCGCATTTGCGTGGGGCATAGTCGTCTCAAAGTTGTGCAACAACTGAAATTATCGAGGGGAGCCATTTTCAGAACGGAACTCTCGCATTAGCGCCGCGCACATTCGCAGTACAATTTTGAAACGGCTACGCAGATGGAAGACGCCCCCTCACTTCAATGGGTATCTCGCCCCAGTGCCGTGCACAGTCGTCTTTCAAGCTTGCAGCACATACAAGGTAGAGGAGGGGTCAAAATGGTGTCATCGCCTGCACGCAGCGCACATGCTCGTCTCAAAAGCTCACGAATTCTGCTAAGATAAAGGGTGGCTTCTTGTGAAACCAAGTCGCTGTTTCTCTTTCTCTCTAAGCTTCTTTCAGCGTGGATGCGAAACAATTTCGTAATGTGCAACAGCTGCACGGACGGAAGGTTGCTCCTTTTCAGGATGGGGCTATCGCGTGAGGCTTCCTCGGGCTCCATGGCCAGCAGCAAGAACCTGTGCAATAATTTCACGGATGGGTGTGGCTCAATGTCGCAACTGTGATATCGCTGGACACCTCGTTGCTGTACAATGCGGGCGCGGCCGCAAGACACCCTCGCAAGAAACCCAACCCTGAAAACCCGCGCGCGAAGTGCAAAGGAGGGGAAACCCGGAGCACCCCGAACGCAGCAGCTCCTTCAACGGCCGCGGGAAGTCACCGCGCATCGCGCGGAGCGAAGAAACCCAGGGTACACTGACGAAAGTAGATGGTTTCTTGATGCGCGCCCCCACTGTATGATCATGCCTTTTCGTATTCCTTATCACTCGCTCGAACGATGCAACACGCTTCGTTTTCTAAAGAGGGCTCTCGCCAGCATGGCGGGCCCACAGGGTGCTGACATTTCACGGAGGCGCCTCCCGTAGCAAGAAAGACGGCGTGCAAGGACTCACGAGGGTGCATTGCATCATCGTTGAAGCATCTTGGGTCGACTCTGGTCCTCCTCCTCCTCCTCCTCCTCCTCCTCCTCTTCCCCCTGCTCCTCCCCTCAAGCATCGACCCGACCCACGAACCTCTCCAAGTGTGCGCTCTGGCCAAACTTTCGACGAAAAGCCAGCCGTGGGGACGAGAAGTCCCCAGGAGTCGTCATCAAGATCCCTCCCTCGTTCATACGCCATCCCCCCCGCTCCCGTCCTCTCTCCCTCCCTTCATCACTCCCCTCCCTCCCTCCCTGCTACCACTCCCCACGCCCGGTTCATGACGTTCTCTCCTCCCTCCCTAGAGCAACAAAGTTAGCCTAGCGAAGGACCCAACCATAGTCAGCTGTAGGTACCCGGTGGGGTTTTCTATGGGGGGGGGGGGGGGGGCGAAATGTGTGAGGGTGTCTCCCTCTGTGGGCCACGAGGCGGTGCCTGCTCTGCGGTACGCCAGGCAGGGCTCCGCAGCTCCGCAGGTCGCTCCGCCCAGGTGGAGTTCCCTGTGGGGCCGCGAAACGCTGTCCTGGGCGGGGGAGACGCATGCGAACACCGCCACTGGGGCCTCGAGTGGAACTCCCTGTGGGGCGACGAAACGTTGTTCTGGGTGGGGGGGGCGCATGCGAACACAGCCACTGGGGCCTTAGGTGGAGCTCCCTGTGGGGCCACGAAACACTGTCCTGGGTGGGGGAAGCGCATGTGAACACCGCCGTTCGGGCAATTAGGTGGAGCTCCCTGTGTGGCCACGAAGCGCTGTGCTGGGCGGGGGAGACGCATGCGAACACCGCCACAGGGGCCTTAGGTGGAGCTCCCTGTGGGGCCACAAAACGCTGTCCTGGGTGGGGGTGACGCATGCGAGCACCGCCATTCGGGCCTTAGGTGGAGCTCCCTGTGGGGCCACGAAACGCTGTCCTGGGTGGGGTGGGGGGGACGCATGCGAACACCGCCACTGGGGCCTTAGGTGGAGCTCCCTGCGGGGCCACGAAACGCTGTCCTGGGTGGGGGAAGCGCATGTGAACACCGCCACTGGGGCCGTAGGTGAAGCTCCCTGTGGGGCCACGAAACGCTGCCCTGGGTGGGGGAAGCGCATGCGAACTCCGCCACTGGGACCTTAGGTGGAGCTCCCTGTGGGGCCGCGAAGCGCTGTATTGGGTGGGGGAGACGCATGCGAACACCGCCACAGGGGCCTTAGGTGGAGCTCCCTGTGGGGCCACAAAACGCTGTCCTGGGTGGGGGAGACGCATGCGAACACCGCCACTGTGGCCGTAGGTGGGGCTCCCTGTGGGGCCACGAAGCGCCGTACTGGGTGGGGGAGTCGCATGCGAACACCGCCACTGGGGTCTTAGGTGGAGCTCGATGTGGGGCCGCGAAACCCTGTGCTGGGTGGGGGAGACGCATGCGAACACCACCATTGAGGCCTTCGATGGGGATCCCTGTGGGGCCACGAAACGCGTAAGGGGTGTGGCGAATTTGGCGGCGGTGTTAGTGACGATAACGGTGGCGATCATGACGTCGATGATGATGATGACGATGAAATGGCGATGACGATGATGACGATGATGAACATGATGATGATGGTTATGATGATGAT